CGTTTTCTTCCAGTACCCCAGTTTCCTCCCACAGACCAAAAACATGCATGTTAGGCTGATTGGTAACTCTAAATTGTGAGAGAGAGAGTGAATGGTTGTCTCCATGTGTCCCTGTGACCTGTCCAAGGTGTCCCCTGCCTCTCGCACAGTGATGGCTGGACATGGACACCGACCCGAAAAGGAAGAAGCTGGTAAAGATAATGGATGGTTGATTTTATTAGCAGGCTGGACTGATGTCACCCGCAGGCCAGATGTGGCTCGCGGACCTCCAGTTGAATCGCCCTCGTCTATAGTAAAGGCCCAGACAAGCTTGTGTAACCGTTGACCTTAATTTGGGACCAGGACCTTGGAGCTGAAGTGAAAAGACATGTAGTGCTGATGTCTCAAGATTCATTAAATTATGAGTGGATCAGAAGTTATACCACAGTACTACGAAACTATACAGTGATGCGATACTAAACCGTGATGCGACGCCATGCCGTGATGCGACGCCATGCCGTGATGCGGCGCCATGCCGTGATGCGACGCCATGCCGTGATACGGCGCCATGCCGTGATACGGCGCCACGCCGTGATGCGACGCCATGCCGTGATGCGACGCCATGCCGTGATGCGGCGCCATGCCGTGATGCGGCGCCATGCCGTGATGCGGCGCCATGCCGTGATGCGACGCCATGCCGTGATGCGACGCCATGCCGTGATGCGACGCCATGCCGTGATGCGGCGCCATGCCGTGATGCGGCGCCATGCCGTGATGCGGCGCCATGCCGTGATACGACGCCATGCCGTGATACGACGCCATGCCGTGATGCGACGCCATGCCGTGATACGACGCCATGCCGTGATGCGGCGCCATGCCGTGATACGACGCCATGCCGTGATACGGCCGCCTTTTGGTGGACATATAATAATAATAATAATATTACAAAACAAACCACAAAGAGGAAGGGTTGTTTACTTTTATTAGATTTATTCAGTTTTGTACAAAAGGCTCAAAACTGTGAAACTTCTAAACTGAACGTTTCCATCCGATCTTTAATTCTGTCCACATCTAAAGTTTACAACAATAAACATGAATCCTTTAAATGTCAAACTCTTTAAAAAGCCTGAACCATTTCAGGACAAAGATCAGGAAGAGAAGGCGTTTACACGATACTCAAGAGTCCGACGCTACATTTGGAAACGATGAAAAACTCGTACAGAAAATGATTTTGACTCCTCGTTCACAAAACGCTCAAGAACAAACGTGCCGTTTAAAAATAAACAACATTCAGTTCAGACTTTAAAAGAATACGTCGTTAAAAACTACAGCATGACCCTCGATGGTTTCAATAAACATTTTATAATTAACTCAGTTCATGTATTTTGTGCCGTTTCACAACAAAAGTCACATCAGAGCTTTTTGTCATTAAAGAGTAAAGGATCCTGGTTCAAACCCCGTTAGATAAGGGCCATATCAGTCCAGTTCATTATAATCCAACTACATTCAAATCCAGTCACAGCCATTAAAACTCAGTTCACTCTGTTTATAATCCAACTGTCAGATTAGGATGAAATAAAAAATAACGAGTCTATTTGCACCAAAAATCTACATTTCCTCACTAATAAAGTCAACTTTTCCCATCAAACCTTCACTTTAAAAACATGTATTGACTTTTTTGTCATTTTGTACCATTTTGTTCATCATCAACAATCCTAATGTTCTTATTTAATACATCAATTTAAGGGAGGGGGTTTATAAAACGCCTTGCTTGAACAAAAAAAAAAAAGGTGATTTTGTGCATTTATGTAAAAATAAATTAATCATGAATTCAGTTACTGTAGGTTTAATATGCAATTATTATTTTTCCTGCTGACAGGAACACTGTTCTGTGGGTCAACAGGCCCAAACATGCCAGACTTCAGGTTTAAGTCCCCACTGTGACATGTAGTGACATCTAGTGGCACAACTGGTAATCTGCAGCCAAATGAAACGATGCGCACACGACTTTGTGGGAAAAATAAAAAAAAATTCTTGCAGATATTGAAAAACAATCAAATTACAAAGTTTAAAAATAAATTTTGAAAACTGGCTAGTTCCGTTTGTGCCGTGATCCTGAAGGTTTTGCATCGTGCCACCTTCTGAGGACACTAAGGAGTCTAGATTAGTTACTTCAAAGTATCAACTACTTCCTCAGACGGCTGAGGCGAGCTGGTCTGGGAAGCTCAGTCCTCACCTCCTTCTACAGGTGTGCAGTGGAGAGCATCCTGTGCTCCAGCATCAACGTGTGGCATGGAGGCTGCACAGCTGCAGAAAGAAAAGCTCTGCAGAAAGTGGTGAAGGCTGCACAGAAGATGTTGGAGTCAGCCTCCCCACCATCACAGACATCTACACCTCCAGATGCAGGAAGAGGGCCACCTGCATCATGAAGGACCACACTCACCCAGCGCACACACTTTTTGCCCCGCTCCCCTCAGATAGGAGGTTGAGGAGCATTAAGTGTAGAACCACTAGACTGAGGAACTCATGAATCTCTAACCAGGAGAATCACTGTAATGCCACTTGAATTGGTGAAATCTGTGCTGCTGATTTCTTACCCATAAGCTGCTTCATACCCATCTGCTCACAGCAGACTCATGTTCAGGCTGCTGTTTAGTACACCTTATTATATTATTATTGTTTAGCGTATATCTTAGATCCTTGTTTCTTTATTTTATTTAATATGCTTTATATTTTGGGGTATAACTGGAACCTGAACACAATTTCATTCCACTTCATGTACCGCATGTGATGGGAATGACAATAAAGTCGCCTTGAACCTCGATGAAGCAAACGTCCCAGATGCTCTTATCTGGCAGCGTTACAAAAATTGACTTTTAATTTAACTGAAATGCAGCTACTACGATCAGTTTTTACTGTAACATTTATTTTGTATGGAATTTTAAAATTCAGAAAACCAATATTCATGTGGGGCTTTACCTGCATACCAAAGTCCCACCTACACAGCCTCCCATTCCGCTAACAGGCTGGCAAAAGTGTAGCGTGACACTTTTCCTTCTTTAAAACAACAAATTGAAATTAAAGGAAGAAAAAAAACATACTTGAGCATACAGAAAGGTAATGACGATGTGAATCAACACTAAGAAATGATCTGAAGTAGAGTTTTTAGTCTGGAAACCGTTCCATTAAGTTGCATGGAGGGGCGGGGCTTCCTTATCTTCCTGGTGCCAGCCAATGGGACGCTGGAACCAGTGCTGCTCTGGTTGTGGTACATCAGGATTGAGCCAGCGCAATGGTTCTTTCGTCAAAAAAGGACAATATTTCCTCTCGCTTCTATTTATTACTTTTTAAGTAAACTAGGCCTGTCACGATAACAAATTTTGCTGGGCGATTATTTGTCTCAGAAATTATTGTGATAAACGATAATATTGTTTGAAATGTGACAATAATTAGTAATTCTTGTCAAATTTAAGAAGAAATGTTTAATTTGTCTTGCATGTAGTACCTTTTTTTGACCACCAGATGACAGTAAAAGACAGTTTGAACCAAAGGATGGATAGTGAGGGAGCGAGCAGCACGTCTCTTTAAGAAAAATGGGAGGGAGGACCCCTTGACGTGACATGGGCTGTCTCTCTTTGGTTCTCAAAATGGCAGACGCTCGGTGTGGTTTGAGCTCTTTAGCATAGCATTTGTCACACAAAGCTTTTAATTTATTTTTTAAAAAATCAGTAAACAAGTTCTCAGCTTCTTTTCTCAGAGAAAAACAACTTTTTACACAAAGGCACGTTTCAACTGTGAATTTTGAAGCTTTGACGAGACGGAGGTTTTTTCCACCGAGGTCGGCCTGTTAGCTTAGCTCGTAGCTTAGCTGCTTTATGATGATGTGATATTTTTGTTAAGCACTTTGGTAACAGTTTCTGTTTTAAATGTGCTCTATAAATAAATCTGACTTGACTTTAAATTATCCAAAAATGCGACGGTGAAAACAGACTTTAAAGAGAAGGGGCGGGGTCAATGAAGAGCACCGGAGTCGAGTCTTTTGTCATCGAGTGTCTTCAGTAAAAAGAGAGAGACAAGAAGAAATGATAAAACTGATCAATGAAAATGAGGTTGATAATTTTCATTTATCATTGATTAATTGATTTATTGTTTATTGTGACACGTCTAAAGTAAATGCATCGTGCTAACAAGCAAACGTGGATTTGGTGCCGTGAAGGTTTTTTTTTTAATAAAAAAATAATAAAAAACTTGAATTATTATTTGAACGTCCACCTAAAAGTTTGGGAACAACAAATTTATTCTGTCTCTTTGAACTTATTTTAAAAAGATATTCTAGACAATAAAGTAGATTTTAAGCTAGCGAGGGGACAGAATCAGATCAGGCTCATTCAACAATGAAAATGTTGGATTTCACTTGTTAATATAAGCAAAGAACTTTCTTTAGATTTTATTGCGGCAACAAGGGAATACCCTGTGAACCGCTGAGCAAGATCCTAAACAGAAGCTCAGACTTAAAGAGAAAAACAAACGATGGAACAAGAAAACAGCAATCAGTGCATCTCTGACGTAAATGGAGTGAGCCCTGATGTATTGTTCTGTTCGTGAAGCCGCCACGTGCACTTTAAGGACAGAAACGCTCACGTTGTCACTGAAACGGAGGGACTGTTGGGTCGTTCCAATAGCTGCGGCGCTCTTGCTCAAACAATCTGTGCAAGAGGCCAGGCGGTTCTGCCGACCGGGACAAGAGCTGTCCAAACACGGCAACGGTCAGATAAAAATAAAGTGTCTTGACTTTCCTGTCCTGACCCCGAGCAGAGCAGGTTAAATATAAAATGTGCTTCCTCGTGTCAGCGCAGTACCGTCACTCGCCTCTGAGCCCACAAACCTCAAGAAGCTCCAGACGAGCATGAAGCTGAATAAATACAGCGGTGTGTCGTTACACACAGAACGAGTCGGATTACTGCCGTCGGTGCCGCTGTTGAGAAACGGCACAAACTAAACGTTTGCAGCTGCATTTCCCTCTCCTCTGCACCCGTTAAAAGAAATTAAGACATCAACTTATCTTTAAATAAACTTTGAGGGGGGAAAAACGTGACTCTTTGCCACACTTTCCCTTCGTGCACTCTCCTTGGAGTCTTTTCGGTTCGTACCATGGCAGTATCCTCAGCGGACTTCCTTTTTAGGTGCTGAAGGACCACGACAAGTCCTCCTGAGGCCCGGTGCGCTCTCAGCAGTCCGCGGGAGCAGAGGACCTCCTGCTCCTCTCGTCCTCTGGCTCGTCAGTATTTATTAATCCCAAAGATCCTGACGCCGTGCAGCTGGGGCAGTTTGGGGATGAGCACGGTGAGCAAAGACACCGTGTTGACCACAAAATGGGCTCTGTCATATTTGGTGTAGAAGCTGGTTAATATGTACCTGAAGGGATTAAGTAAAAAACAAAAAAATTTATTTGTTTAAAAAAAAAAAAAGGTACTTTTTTCTTTCATGCGACGCGGCTTCAAAATGGGACTTAAACACTTTGACACAAACAGCCATGAATTTCTCCCGGTTCATAAGAGGTTGTGCTCTCTTACATGACGGACACGTTAAGGGTCGTTCTAAAAGAGAATGCCTCTGCACATGAGTCCCTCCAACATATACGAGAATAACCACTTCCTGCTGGAGCCGGCTGCAAAACAAAAGTCGAAATGCAGCAGAAACCCAACGTTCACCTGCAGAGCTGCTCGCGTTACAGTATTCCTGCTGAGCTGGCACATCAGCCCTTGGGAACCAAAGCACCTCCTGTAAACTGAACTCTGATGGTAATGAGGAGAGAAAGGAGCAGGACAGTTTGCTTCAACAATTTGGAGACTTGGACAAGAACGGCACAGCAGGGATGAAAATCTACTGGCACTCGAATGCATCGTGTTTAACTTCATTCTGAGCTCCAGGTTCTTCTCATTTAGTTCACGTGACCTCTGCTGGCACTGACAAAAAAAACCCACAGGGACTTAATCTAGTTTTGTGTCCGTCTTACATCTTTTCTGCTCTCGTGATTTTGCTTCAGCTTCTTTACAACATTTAGTGGTTGTTTCAGAGAGTTTCCTCCTACTTACAGAACAATAGGTGTGATGGTGAGGAACTTGCGGGACGCTGTGAACTGAACACCGTAGTCCATCTGCTCCCAGTGGGTCAGGAGGCGAGCCTTACCCTGGTCTGGGGTCTCAAAGGGCGTCCCTTTGACCGTGTGCAGCAGGAGGTACATGCACTGTAACCAAAACCACAAGTCAAAGACAATAAAACTAGAGAAATTGCTATTTCTGCACAATTACTGAGCTATGCAAACTGCTAATTATAGTGCTAATGCTAATTTTGCTTTGCTAAAAGCAAAGTGTGAAAAAACACCAAATGAAAGTAGGAAAAGACGTTAAAAGTAGCAAAAATGCTAACTAGCTTTGGCGTTAACTAAAGTAAACAGTTACATTAGTGGTGAAACGGTTTACTTGAGACTCCTCGGACTGATGAAGCCCTCTGGATAGAGGGTGAAATGTCTCTACAAAAAAATAAACTGTCTAGATGACCTGACGGAGCATTATTGGATTTGGTGCCTGGATGATTGAGCATGAACTTTGAAGATAGTTACATTAGCATTAGCAGGATTAGCATTATCATTAGTAAAAATAGCATTGGTGGACGTGACGTTAGCGACAGTAGGTTTAGCATCAACTGAACAAACAAGTAAATTTTGCATTAACAGGCGCTGAACTGGCTTTAGCAGTAGTAGAAGTCTGAAATATGTTCAAACAGACCAAAGATTGTGAAGAGATCTCAAATTTTTTTATAGGATTTTTTTTAGTAAATACAGTTAAATATTATGAAAAGTAAAAAAGTTACAGAAATCAAAAATCACAACACCTGAATGAGCCAAATGATTTGAAATACGAACGGTTGAAACAGCGCAATATATATATAAAAAAAAAAAACTGGAAATGAACGAATAAATAAATATAAAAACGAAATCAATAGTGTGAACACTGAATCAGTATTTGCAAAACAAACGAGCAGACTGTGTGCAGAAAGATCACGGTCCAGTTAGGATAAGGAACTCTGGATTTAACCTAAAAATAGATCCTGTGCGTTTACAGGATTAGAAGCTCTTTAAAAGTGAACGGTGGAGATCAAGACAGACGATCCGAGTTCATGATGCAAGACAAAAGATTGTAGAAGCAACGACGACTCAAAACCTACTAAAGAACCTGACGGACGAGTCAAGAAGCGGATGTTTCCTGTGAGGTTAAACACCAGCCCAAACCCTTTTTCAATTCAGTTCAGTTGATTTTTATAGCTCCAAGTCACAACAGAAGTCGCACTTTTATCACGTTCAGGAAGAATCTCACTGGACTGGGACTGTTGGAGACTCAAACTTGACTCAAAATGGCAAGAAAATTCGCAAATATTCAGCTACCGGTAGTTTCAGTGAACCCGTGAGGACCACTTTTACTCTCAACCCAACGAGAGGCCTCTTTAACTCATTAATAAACATGAAAACAAAAGTGTGGCTGAACTGGGGCCTTTGGGCATTCTGCTCCACTCACCAGGTTGTGGATGAGGTTGGTGAGGGTCCAGACCACCGGCACGCTGACGAAAGGGATGCTGAGCAGGATGATGTGGAGGAGCCCGATTCCCAGGATGTACGAGAGCCACATCCCCCTGCTGTTCATCACTCGAGTGTTGGGGTTCACCTCGCTGTGCGCCGTCCCCACATTCATGGTGGAAGCGTTGGGCTCAGCGGATGCTGGGAGCTCTGATTTCTGCTGAAGCACAAATTAACGCCATCATTCACAAACGAAGCCTGGCCTAGAAGCTGAGTAATACTGGACAGGTTTTCAAAAGGCTAAAGTGAAAAATGATGCTGCAGCAGCTACAACCAGCTTACATTTAGAGTTTTGCTGAAAACACTGGTCTATAAATTACTTTTAAAAGGTGCAAGTTATTCTAAGGATTGCTTATGAACTAAACTAGCTCTAAAGGAACTTTTAAATGATCATGAACTAGAGTCACGAAAAACAAAAACAAGAATTTACCGCGTTTCAAAACACTTTTGCAAACGTTATTAATGTTTAGGATATTTTTTGCAGTGATTAGAATAGTAATAATCAATTAAGTTTGATCAAATAGACAAGTAATAAGACTTTACTCACCTTAAAAGACTGAATTTGTATTTTCAGAACATTAAATTATTACCAACTCAACATTTCGCTGATAATAAAAGATCATTGAAATGAATGAAAGCAGCTTTTGATGGCGCAAATGTTCAAAATTGCACCGTGGCTATCTTTCAAATGAAAAGTAAACTATATGACAAACAGAAATCAACCATAATTTTCCTATTTATAATAATTTAAACTCCTCGGGACTAATTGTTTTTAAGAGGATGGCTCTGCCAGGCAGGAATTGAGTGTTTGAACCCAGATTACAGCTGATATAAACGCACCTTTTTAATATTTTTTAAACAGACCGTGATGCCGTTCAGGTTTATTTAAAGTGATGCCAGAAGACAAGAAAATGTGGATTTATCGCAATATTGTCATCACAATATTAACAATATTGCCTATATAAGATGTCCCTAATTTCATAATCTGGTAGATTTAATATTTGATAAAACATTAAACTACACACTGCACTGAAAATAAACTTGATCAGCTTCATGTAAGACATTATAGAGACCTGTCAGCCAATCAGAACACAGCATTTTGCAAATTTAAATTTGAGTCAAGAATCAATATTTGAAGTCAGGATAAAGTCCTGAGCGAAGCAGACAAGCAGCAGACAAATCATTTGATGTGGCAGAAGCTCACTCCATCATGCTTTCTAACTTGTTTAACTGCGAACAAAATGAGGCAAAACAAAGATTTTCAGCTTAGCTCAACAGGAGCTAAAGGGCAGCTCATTTCTGCTGAGTAAATAAAAGGTGCCACTTACTGGAGAGAGAAACGGACTGACCTCCGACCTGCGCGGGACACCAGGAGTCCGTTATCTCAGCGTTTGCCTCATCGATGAGCTCCGTTATGAAACTGATAACTATCACAGGGCGACGCTCCGACGCTTCCAGTCACCCGGTGCCATCTTTCAGCTCCGGCGTGCTTGAAGTGTTACCATCCGCTCGGAAACACCGAGATTCGTCCACTTTTACTTCGTCTTGGCCCACCAGCTGGTGACAACACGGCACAGTCCACAGAGAAACGTCACCTATCTTCACTTTCGCTGCTGCATGTTTAGGCTGAGGTTGTGTTCATCGCACTCCGCGTTGATTGGCTGATGTGCGTCACGTGGTCTCAACCAGCCTATCAGCGTTAGATGCAACAGACGAGCGTGGACTACGCCCCCTGACGTAACGGACGTAGGGGCGGGATTAAAGAACATGATTGACATTTAAGGCAACTTGATAAAACCAGCCTTTTAAAAAGGGATTATTTAAAAATAATGCAGGTAAACATTTTTTTAAAAACGGCCTAATTTTACAACAATTTACCTTTTGATAATAAATGCAAAGATTTAATTTAAATTTATTCCTAGTATGTGCATATACAGTACATTTATTTAGTATTTTTTATTACCGTTCTACCTGATTTGTCCAAATAAAAACTTTTAAATTACCCTCAAATGCCAGAAGATATTGCTAAGCACCATTTATTTTTGCACATAATCCTACAGAAGTACTGTGCTGTTAGAATTCAAATAAAAATAATGAAGTTACTCTAAAATTACTGTCCAACATTTAGGCATTAATAAGTCAACTTTATTTATAGAGCACATTTAAGACAGAAACTGTTATCAAAGTGCTTAACAAGAACACCAATGGGAGTAAAAATTAATGAAATTAATATCCTTTAATAAGAAATTATTAAAGGACGGAGTACAGAAAATTGCTATTGTCAAGTTTTGCCGTGGAGTTGAATAATGCTCGTTCTAAACTTAAGTTATTTACCAGAAACTTCATTTATGCAGGATCTTATCAAAAATTCCCCATCAGACATACGAAGACACATCTCAAACCAACCTTGAGCTCACACAAGCATAAAACAAACCTCATACACAGAAGAACAAGGTACGCAAAATAAAAACACTAGCGTAGTATTTTTAAGAATAAAGAGGGGTGTACTGTGAGGGTTTGGTTCAAGTAGACAAATCACTGCAATCAAAGCAGATAATGCAAAAAGTAAACATAATACAAATGTTAAAACAAGATGTCTCTAAATATTTCAGAAATAATAAATCAAGACACAATCATGCCTTTGAGCAAACTTTACCTCTGGTACACAAACGTTTGGTGCTAAATAGTGATTTTTACATGTATTTAACATTTTCAATATCTTAATTATTGGACACATAAATAAGCTTACACAATAAAAAGTGGTAAAAAATGTTATGAAAGAACATGTGGATGTTGTAAAAAATAGTTTTTAAAAAGTTACAGGCAGTTACAGTTATAGGTTTATCCTCGGGTGACCATGGATTTTTGGCAAATTTCCACCTGATCCACACAAAAACCGTTGAAATATTTTAACTGGGTCCGAAACTGTAGCAAAACTAACCACCAGACTAAATGACTGACCATCATAGCTGTGAGTCGAGTCATGAACTTTGGCTAAAAATAACATTTACACGTTCACAACACAGAACTGAGAGGCATGTCGGATAAGGTGAAGTGTGTCGCACATTTATTCAGACCTGCTGCAATCTCACACAATGAAGCACGTTTCCTAATTTTAACAGATAAATTCATCATAGATGTGCATTTTTTTTAACAGAAACTAAACAAGAGACAAGACAGATCACTGAACACGAACTAAAAGTAAGATGCACAAATAAAACAGGATTGTTTCATCTTTTAAGAGGAAAAAGTCGATTTTACTGCACCAATAGAACACAGTCCTACTCTCACCTACGGTCATGAACTCTGGGTAGTGACTGAAAGATTCAATTCAATTCAGTTTATTTACAGAGCGCCAAGTGACGGCAGAAGTCAGGCGGATGAAATGAGTTTCCTCTGCAGGGCAGCTGGACTCTCCCTTGGAAACAGAGTGAGAAGTTCAGTTATCAGGAGAGACTCGGAGTAGAGCCGCTGCTCCTCCACATCGAGAGGAGCCAGTTGAGGTGGTTCGGGTACGTCCGACTGGGAGGAGACCCCAGGGAAGACTAAGGACACGCTGGAGAGACTACGTCCCTGCTTGGGAGTCCTCCCAGAAGATCTGGAAGAGGTGGCTGTGGAAAGAGACGTCTGGGCCCCCTGTTCAAGCTGCTGCCAGCAACAGCAAAGTGGAAGATGATGGACGAATGGATGAGTACACAAGTCCCTTGTTTATCGTGGGGAGTACGTTTCGGACCCCCTCCCCCCAACCCCCGCAATAAGTGAAAAACCACAAAGTAGAAACGCTATACAGTAGTCCCTCGCTACTTCGTTTCGTTCGTTTATCGTGGACTCGCTCTATCGCGGTTTTTCAAAATAAGATTGGACATGACAAACACTTGGCTGATTGATGGATGAGCCGCACGATCGGCATGGAATTTTTATTTAAAATAAATTATTTTAAATTATTTGGCACCTGCAGCTCCTTTGTGCAGTCCTTACTACAGAATACACTTCATGCTGCAGCTGATCAGCTGATCTACATGCAGAGCGGAGAAGTGGGCGTGGCCGAGAGTGCTTGCAGGTTACTAGATTACTAGATTAGATTACTAACTATGACATTAGATTACTGTTTTTCTTTTACATTTTATTGTGGGATGTAACTGGGACTCTGTACATAATTTTGTTCCACCACATGTACCACATGGTGGAACAACAATAAAGAAACTGACGCAAACAGCAGTGGAGGCAGAGAGAGAGAGAAATCATGACATTCTGTGCTCTTTTGGAGCATTTAGAGTTTAGAAACATTGTTTAGAATATTGCAAGAGTGTGGGAAGTAAGGATGTGCGATATGGCATAAAATTTATATCACGATATGTATCGTGAAGGGTGGCGATAACGATATATATCACTATGTGTTTTTGGTATAAAACTTGCAATAGGAATGAAAAAAAAACATACGGTGTCCTTTTGCCATCATTTATTTTGAAAACTTCTATACCACAAAATAATCTCAATTAAGAAAATTCCACTACTAGGTTCAGAGAGTTTTTAAATAATAAATAAATCAATTATTAGGCTTCTTTCTTGTAGTGCAAAACAGGACAAAAGATATCAAATGTAGTTTTAGCCATATGTAAAAAAAAAAAAAGTTAACTCTTAACAGTTTCCAGTCTTCTCACTTAAAGAACAGCAACAGAGCAGCATTTTACACTGAAACACTTCACCCTCCAACCCTCTAGTGGGCGTCTCCTTCCACTTTAAGGAGCGCTGACACAAAATGGCGACCAGTTTCCTCTTTGGCTTTGACCAGAGGGTCTTCGCAGTAAAATCAAACAATTCAGCGTTCTTTTCACAGATCAGAGAGCAGGTTTCTCTAAAGCTGACCAACATTTACTTTAACTTTCGATGGAAAAAAAACCCCAAAAAAACTTTCGATAGAACACAGCGTTTTGCGCATGCGTCAGAATAAGGCACTTCTACGGCAAGTCGGACGTAGTTAGCTTGTAGCTTCGCTACTTAGCTCTCGAAGAAAAGACTTTAACGCCACTTGCGCAGTTTTCAGCTCAAAAAATATAACGATTAAACCTGACAACTCTGATTTTACATCAGACACAGCATTACAGTGGTTAGCCA